GAGTGCAATCTGGGACTGTGGCTTTTTTTTGTTCATGGCGAAGGCTAAGCTGCTAATAACGGTTTTATCCTCTTGATTCGTACGCTCCAACGGGCTCCGTTTCCCAGGGACGGTCCGACCCGGTCTTTCTTCCGTTCCTGATCAAAAAAAGGGCCGCCAGCGTTCGGCCCTCTTTTTTTGACTTGTTGATGTAAGTGAATAAAGTGGATCAGGAAAGAATTCTTTACCTGGTCGTCTAGGGTGCACGGAGGGTCTTTCTCCAGGCGACCACCCGTGGAAGGGATACAAAAGCTAATTTGGTTTTTTTTTTTTCCCCCTCCTTCTAACTCTGAGTTGAACAGCAAAGTAGAGGAGATGGAAGGCAAAACCAGGGTGGATTTCTCTGATCCTCACTTTTCCATCCATAGGTCACCCGGTTATCAAAATGGTGTGGCCACGAGATCCGTGTACCCAACTTGATTTTCCTCTGTCCACGTGCAAAGTGTTTACTAGCATACGTATATCATGTTTATGCCCTAATATTTTACATGCAATTAAAAAATAATAAAAAAGACTTCCCTTCAAAGTTCTTTGCTGCTTTCCTTCTTCGGGAAATTTTAAATGGAATTCGACTAATTTTTTTTCACGCAGAGGAGACATTCAAATAGAGGACAGTCCTTTTTTTAAAAAAAGGAATTGCTGGATAGCTTGGTGGTTTAGGCATCTAGGTTGGGAGTTCGATTCCCCCACCCCCTACGGGACCTCCTTGACAAGGGCTGGACTTGATGCAACTGGAAAAAATTAGAAAATGAAATTAATTGAATTGATAGACCTGATGTTTCATAGATAAAATTCAGAAAAACACTGTAAACAACTGGATAGCTGAATGATTTAAGTCAGTGGCTGTAGACCCAAAGGTTGGGAATTCAAGTCCCTCCTGGGCCTTCTTGACAAGGACAGTCCTAAGATGATGATGATGATGTGAAACATCGAGATTAGTGTTCAGTAATTGACTGGACAGCTCAGTGGTTTAAGTCAGAGGTTGGGAGTTTGAATCTCCTTAACAAGGGCTGCTGGACTCCGTGACCCAGAGCGTCCCTCCCAGCTTTGCAGTTCAAAGATGATGAGGATGATTTCTAATTTGGGGCTGAAATTGTTTGGGATACGACGGCGATGGTTCCATTGGCTTTCGTGTGTCCTTTCGGGGCTGGGCGGTTAGTCTGGTAGGATTTCAAGCCCCAAAATCCAGAAATCCAGGCGGAGAACTTCTCCAGAAATTTGGCAAGACCAGGTAGCCGGTCTCTTTTCTACTCCGGGTTGGAAAGCAAAGTCCTTCCATTGAGCGAGTTCTTAGGAGGTAGATGGCTTCGAAAAGAAACTGAGAGGAGTTGAAAGAGGAATTTTTCGCCAAAACACAACAACCCTTAAACCAGGTATCCAGACGCGGCGATACAGAGGAGGATGACTAAATACGAGATGGACTGATTCACCAAACGAAGTCACAGGATTGAATTTTGCAAAAGCTGAGCCAGGCTGTTGAGACGTTTGGGCGAGCGCTCGTTCATCGTTCATCGCCATAAGGGACGCAATGACATAACCACAACAAAATAAAGTCGTTAAATCACAAAATTAAGGACAGTACGCCCCCCGCCTCCCAATGGGCAAACAAGCAAGAAAACGCAGTTGAAACATTCATTTTATGATATAAGCTCTTGTTACTTTACTAACCTCCTTCTAACAATTATTAGTCATGTGCTGCCCTCTCGTGTTTATTTGGCATTTCGGCGAGGCAGTGGTTCCACATCTCAGATTCTAAACATCTTTTATCTTCAACTCGCCAATCAGTTTTCCAGGCGAGCCAAAGCTACTATACTTATTTCTGCCAGAAAACGTACACGTCATCTATTTTATTAGAGCCAATTCATATTCGCATTAGAACGGCATCTATGTTCTCGTGGTGCGTATTCATTGGGGCATGCCATGAGCTGGAATCCTTGCAATTATTTACAATACCGTTAAGCGCATTGAGGGCAGCTGGACGGCTCAGTGGTTGAGGTCTCTGGCTGCGGAGCCAAAGGCTGGGAGTTCGATTCCTGCTCTGTGCCTCTTGGGAGAAAGGCCAGTCTGGGTAGCCTTGGGCCAGTGGCACAAAGTCCCAGGGCTCCCCCCCAGAAGAAGGGCAGCAGAGACCACCTCTGAGTGAGTTCTCTCGACCTGGAAAATCCAGGAAAAGAGTCACCATAGGTCAGAACTGATTTGACAGCATATGATGATGATTCAGACCGAGAATTAACTGCACCATGGGGTTTTCTAGTTCTTAGACTTTGTGGTCATGCGGGTAACATCTTCTTGGGTTAATAACTTTGTTTTTGTTGCCATTCTGTTTTAACTGCTTGTAAACTGTGCTGAAGCACTAATAGGGTGGGAAATGAAGGAAGGAAGGAAGGAAGGAAGGCAGGCAGGCAGGCAGGCAGGCAGGCAGGCAGGCAGGCAGGCAGACAGACAGACAGACAGACAGACAGATAGATAGACAGATAGATAGATAGATAGATAGATAGATAGATAGATAGATAGATAGATAGATAGATAGATAGATAGATAGATAGATGGCTTGGAAAGGCTTGAAAGGTTGGGTAGATAGGAAGGAAGGGAGGGAGTAAGGAACGAAAAGAGAGGGAGACCTAATATATAGGACTTTCGGGTCTTGCATCAATGCACTTCCCCATGTTATTTGAGCCTCTCGTCCTGGTTGTTGTTTGCCGCCAATATATAGATATACAGAGATATAGAGATGCAGATAAGAGAAATACACGTCATCTTTCCAGACCGTGGATAAGTGAATCCGTGGAACCCCCGGAACCTCCCCCCCAGGCCAAGATCAGGGCGTCCCGGGGGGAGGGGGGCTCGGTCAGGCTCGGTTGC